ACACACACACACACACACACACAGAGACACTCACAGAGACTCTCCCCCAAACACACACACAGAGACATTCACAGAGACTCTCCCTCACACACACACACAAATACTCAATGCTTCGTTCCCATTATGTGTTTCATTCTCACACACCATTCATGTTGTGTTTCTACCCACCACATTCTCACATATTTTATGATCTGACATTGATTCAGGCTCTGATGCCTGTCTTCAAGTGTTTTTAAATGTCTCTCAGCCCACAGAGAAGCCAGGGTCCAAAATGAACACAAAATTAAGGTCCAAATACAAGTAAAAATCACCAATTAGCTGGTCATTTGATCAGGATCTCTAAGATGATACCTGCTTTGTAAGAAGCATCATCTGAATCTCACTAGTGACATTAATTCAGTTCAAATCAAAGGCATACAAATCAATCTGCAAAAAAATGAACCACCAAAATGTAAATATAAGGAACAAAATTGTATTATTTGAATAAAAAAAAAAAAAAGCAAAATATAGTTTTTATATTTAGTTGTTGAGGAATATTTATTGCCTGTGAATTTTCTTCTTTTTTTCTTTTTGCTTGTGGGTTCTCCTCATATTAGTTAATTTTGGACCCTGTTCCCAGCATGCCTCAGTCCCTCAAGCCTGTCCATTTATACACCCACAGATTATGTATTTATTTATTTATTTATTACAGATGTATTCGGACTGACCTGTATATGATACAGAACTTGTTAACCAGAAATATGAGTTTAAAGGAATAGTTCACCTAAAAATATAAATTCACTTCATCTTTGTTTATTTTTTATTTTTTTACAATTTTGATTTGATACGTCTAAAATGTAATATAAGTAAAAAATAGTCAAATATTTTTCTTGCACCTTATAAAGATGTGGGTTTTCAATAAAGTTTTTTGGCATTTTATTTGATAAATAATTAATAAAAGATTATCCTTTTGCATTTATACTTTCAATTTTTATTTTGAGTACATTTTTGTAATTTTGTGATGTGCTTTTGTCATTTTTATTAGTTTTTTTTTATTATTATATTTAGCTTTCATTTATTTTTACTTTAGATTTGCTTCATTGTAGTTTTCATTTATTTCCAGTTAGTAATTTATTAATTTAATATATCAATAGTTTTAGTTTTGATGAATGATAACCCTGACAAAAATTATGTAGTTAAATTTTTTTTTTATTAAATTAAAATAAAGAATTATAATCATATAGACTACAGTTTTGACACTTGTGTAAGGCTTGTTTTGTTAGGGTTATTATCATTCATTAAAAATATTATTGAAACACTTTTATATATATATATATATATATATATATATATTATTTGAAAAAACAAAATTTTTTCTAATTTTCATTTAGTTTAAATTGAAGCATTAACATTACTAACTGGAAATAAATAAAAACTAAATCTGAACTAAAACAAAATTATAAAAATGACAAAAAGCACGTAACAATATTAGTAAAATTAAACTAAAACTAAAAATTAAACAAATTGAAAAAAAGCTACTTAAAAGAATACTTTGTAGCATTGTATGTAAAAGAGCAGCTCTGACATTGTACAAAACATCTGATGTTGTGTTCAGTGCAAGAAAATAATATGAGGAGCATCAGAACAACATGAACTTGATGTTTTGTGTGAACTGTTCCTTTAAAAGTGCTGAATCTGTGGCTGTGTGCACGTTCACTCGTCTGCATCACGCATGATCATGTGTGTAACCCGTTGGCTGTGCTGCATGGCCCGTGTGAAGTGTGCTGTTGTGCCCTGATTGCAGAGCATGCGTTGGTTTGCGGCTCCTGGCGGCCCCTGGTCCAGACCCAGGGCTCAGAGTGAGGGCCGCGGTGATATCATCAGCAGCTCGGCCAATCACAGGCAGCCCAGACTGAGCACTGATCTCACGCACACACGGCCGCACGCTGCTGTAAGTCAACACACGCATGATGCATACTAGTTAGTTCTAGGATGGGCCCTGTTCAAACTGAAGATTTCCATAGAAAATCTTTTTTAACCTGTCTATGTTTTTAAATTTCATACCTTTTCCAATAAAATGTGAAATTTTTTAATCTAAAACATGTAACAATAAAAAGTAAAGAAATATTTTCCTTACACACTAAATATATGTGGGTTTTCGTATCATAATCATTATTTACAAATATGTCGTTAAGCATATTTTAATTAAAACTATAGCATTTATATAATTATTATAATTTATATAGTTTTATATATTTAAAAATATGTATAATTTAAAAAAAAATTATGTATAATAAATATTTTATTTTTATAACTAATAATAAAAGATACTGCAATTCTTTTCAAGAACAAGGAATTTTAATAATGTATATATATATATAATTTAAATTTGTAAAACATATAAATATATATAATACTAATAATAATAAAAGATACTACAAAATACCTTTTTGAAGAACTTCAAAGAATTTTCAAGAAATAAAATTTAGTTATTGCAGTTATTGACAAGTAACTGGCAGCATACAACACATCTGATTCCTTGATATTAGCTTAAAAATAACGTCAAATATTCCTTCTCAGAACCAAATGCATTACCTACACAAACAATTTTTCAGGAGGTTTGAATTTCTGCATTTCATCCCTTTTAAAACTCTTTCTGATTGAATGAAGCTTATGATGCTGCCTCATCATCGTCATCATCTTAGCACCATTTGCATCTCATTGCATCCCATCACCTTCATGTGACTGATGAATAACTGCATGAATCCCTCAGCTTGCATTTAACTCACTGACTGCAGCACTTCACATATTACACTGCTAGTTGCAAAGCAAATAAACTATCACTGCTTTTATAATCAACAGAGTTGACTGCACTGGAAGTGTCCTATACGATACTCTTTCAGCTGATGAATATATAACTATAAATATATAATTAATTGATTATATTATTTATTGAACTTTACATTAATTTAAATGTATTACATTTTTAAAACTATTTTAAAAATGTTATTTATTTCTCATTTTTAAAGTTAAAATTGTATATATATATATATATATATATATATATATATATATATTAGGACTGTCAAAATTAACGAGTTAACGCAAACTCCTTTTAACGCCACTAATTTTATTAACGCGCAATTAACGCACTGCGCATTTTCTGTTTGACACGTTGCCTAGCCTGTAGTTGGAGAAATGGAGATGCACAGTGTTGCCAACTTAGCGACTTTTTTTTCCAAAAAAGTACCTAGCGACAAATCTTATTTAGTTACCGAGACTCACTGGTACTGCCGCACGAGCGCGAGGTTTTGCGTCTGATCTGTTCAGCGAGCAGCTGAGAGGAGCAGCGCTTTTAGTTAAAAAAGATATTCTGTTGCTTCTCTAATTTTATATGCAAGTATAGCCGAAATCACAGCACAGCTATCTTTATCTTATGTGTATTTGATTTCATCAGACGACGGCTTGATTATAAATCATGATTTTGTTGCTTCAATGCTTCCAGTGTAGATCCACTGTTGTGGACAAAAAGACTGAATAAAGTAGCAGATGTACTTCATGGTTTCATTACAACGGGGTGATAGAGTCCCTCCTGGTCACTGCTTTGATGTTTGTTTCCTGTCTGGTCATTGATGATTTGTCAGGATTCAGAGGAGGAGGATCCTTACATGGATTCAGCCTTCACCCGTTCCAACGACCCAGGCCTCGGGTCTCTGGAGCTCCAAAACTTCAAGCCTTACATCCTCGAGGATTTTGCCAACTTTGAGGTGTACAACGCCAGCCTTGAGACCCAAGAGGGGGCTATGTGTGTGCAGGGAGAGATGGCACCCGGGATCGGGGTGTTAACAGGGACACGGGCTGCGGAAAAAGAAGTGTCCCGTAGTCCCACAGCCAGCACATGCACAAGTGGCTACTTCTCTCATAGTGCCTCGAACGCCACGCTGTCCGACGTTCTCTTCAGCGGCAGCGATAGTTGCGACCAGCTCAACATTAAAGAACCTCCAGACCCTCAGGAAGCATCGCACGGAAGAGCGTTGCATCCTTCCAGAAGTGCCTCGGGATCCTGTCCAGCCCAGACCATTCCTTCTCAGCTTTGTTCCCATCACTGCACCGACCTGGACTGTTCCCCTTGGCTTCCCCGCAAGTGTATCCTGAGCGTCAATCAAGAATTCACAGACTTTAAGGGTGCATATGATAGTGTAGGGGAAGAAGACCATGGTAAGATTGGATGGAAGGCAGAATTGATTCCCAATTACTTAAAGGGTGTAGATGATGGCGTAGGAGAAGAAGACCTCGGTAACATCAAATGGAAGGTGGAATCGATGTCTCCAGACCTTAAGGGTGTAGATCATGGCGTAAAAGACGACCTTGGTAACATTACGGTAAAATGAAAACCCAAGACCTTACTTAAAAGAAAACAGCTGCTCTCCTTGACAAGGAGCTGTACATAAAATGTATGAACATAGTATTTACAATATTATAAAATGTACAGAATTGTATTTATATTGCATCTCTGCAGATGTTGGTACAAAGATGTTGTAGAATACAGAACGTTTACAAACACTTTTGTGTGCGTGTTCTTCTTTTGCATGACATTATTGAGTGTTTTTCAGTTGATTTGAGAGGTTTGCTCCTAAAATTTTGAGCGAACTATTCAATTATCATGGTATGGAAAATATAATAATAGCACTAAAACATAAACAATGTCTCTGCCTTTGTTGATTAACTTTTTATGTTAGATTTTACACTGATAATGTCGAACCACAATGTAGTTTGACTAGAAAAAAATGAACACTGTAACTTTGCACAACCGCATTCAAACCACAAGTATTCAGATTTTGACAAATGCAAGGCAACCAAAACATTTTTAAAGCAAAAATGTGTGCATTTTGACTAGAGCATGTTGTGCTGACTGTTATGTTTGACTGGCTGATTTCATCTCTTCCCAAACAGTAAATTGTCAAACTCTGAGTCTTGACCTTTGACCTAGATTATCATGTTGCAATACTGGGTCACTAGGTCATTGTGTTGAATTGAGGCATCTGCAACAGAAACTCAGAATACTGTCAAGAACGCCCTTGGAACACATCTGAAATCATAAAATAAATGTATGCATTTCCAAATGCACTTATCTAATGGAACTCATACTGTATTCAGGGAATTAAACCCATGGCCCAGAGTTAAGAAGCAAAACTATTTTTTAGCACTGAGCACACTGGCATTCTTTATAATGTCTCATTTTGTGTTGCACAGAAAAAAATTAACAGCGTAAATGTTTGGAACAACATTTATTTATTTTTAGTGAACTGTTCCTTTAAAAAATTACCTTCAAATCAGAGGGACAAAGAATTAAGTCCTAGCTATTATCACACCGCCAACAAAAATCCAAACATATTCAGGCATTTAAATTACAAAATTAATCATTAGTCACATGACAGTGAGTAAGCATTAAATGTAGTCAACCATTGAGGGAAAGGGTCAGATTTCTAGTGTGGGCGTGGTTAGACTGGGTAGTGGGCGTGGCGTGTGACATTGTGGGCGTGGTCTTTGTCCGCGTGTGAATGTGAGCCACCAAAACCATATGGCATGTTGAGTTCTGTAGCCTGACAGCTGCGCTCGTTTGCTGTGGTTTATTCTACCTCATATCAGATCATCCGCGCTCTGTTACTGCTGCCTTCCAGGAATACGAGCTGTTCTTGATCTAAGCAGTCGTGGTGAAACTTTGACCCTGTTTGAGGATGCACAGCTCTCAGAAGGACACCACATACACCAAGGTCTTCGTCGGAGGTCTTCCGTATCACACCACCGACTCCAGCCTCACGAAATACTTTGAGGTGTTTGGAGAAATCGAGGAAGCTGTTGTCATTACTGACAGACAAACGGGGAAATCCAGAGGCTATGGATTTGTAAGCTATCTATCTATCTATCTATCTATCTATCTATCTATCTATCTATCTATCTATCTACCTACCTGTCTACCTGTCTGTCTATCTATCTATCTATCTACCTACCTACCTGTCTGTCTGTCTATCTATCTATCTATCTATCTATCTATACATCTATCTATCTACCTACCTACCTGTCTGTCTATCTATCTGTCTGTCTATCTATCTATCTACCTACCTACCTGTCTGTCTGTCTATCTACCTGTCTGTCTGTCTATCTATCTATCTATCTACCTGCCTGTCTATCTAATATTTTTAGATTTTCCATTTAGTGAGTTTTAGTAATTTTCCTCTGTGATTTAGTCATTTTTAGTAGTTTATATATATATATATATATGTGTGTGTTTAGTTGTTTATATATATATATATATATATATATATATGTGTGT